CAGAATCCCTGGCTCCAGAAGAGGCGGAGCGGGCAGCGCCCCGGTGGGGGTAGAGGGTGTTGGTGTTGTGGGTCCGGCCTGGCTGCGCCTTTAACTCCTGCGGCTTCTCCCCCTCCCCAACACCCTCTCTGTGGCCTGGCGCACCGACACCCAGAGGCAGGTGAGTGGGCAGCTCGAGAGAGGCCTCAGTGCGTGTCCCCCGCATGTGCAGGCCCGAGGCCGGCTCTCGCCCCCGCAGAGCGGCCCGCGTGCCCTTCGGCTGCCCCTTGCATGCGGCGCTCGCTGTGCACGCGGCTGCCTCCTGCCCTCACCTGTCCCGTGTCCCCTGCGCTCCCCTTAACCCCAGCCTCCCGCTTCAGGCCGGTTTCGCTGCGCCTGCTGTCAGAGGGGGGAGTGGCCCAGGATTCTCGGGGAGGGGGTCATCTTTCCAGGTGATCTTAGGATGGGGGGCGGGTGCAGCTCACGCCTACAGAGGCCTGAGAGGTTACCCCTTGGCCGTTTGCCACCAGGAAGCCTGGTCGCTGTGCAGTAGCCATCTTGGGCACCCTTGGTCCTGTGGAAGGAAAGGGCGGGCAGGGATAGGAAAGGCAGGCCCCGCTTGCTGTGCTGCTCAGCGCCCCTCCCCGCCCTCTGAGGAGACCCCAGCCCTGGGCCTCAGCGCTCTGCTGACCCTCTGTATCCCATTCTCCCCGCAGGGCATCGAGCGCCTCCAACGAAAGAACCAGCGCAGGCAACGCAGGGGCAGCTGGAAATCGGTCAAAGAGACCTTCGGCGGGGCCTTTTCCCTGAACTGGTTCAACCCCTTCTCCGGACCGAGTCACCCAAAGCCGCTGAGCGACAGAGACTGGGTGCGACAGGTGTCCTCGGTGTCAGACACGGAGAACACGGAGACCACAACGGAGGAGCCGTCGGAGGAGCGGAAGGACTTGGACTCCGCGGAGGTGGTCGATGAGTGACGCTGCGGGGCGGGGGCCCGGGGCCGGGCGCCTGGGCACCCCACGCGCTCCCCTCACGCTCCTGACCTCCGACCCCCCTCCCTCCCCCACGCCGGGCCAGGTCAGGCGATGGGGGTGGACGCAGAGAGACTTGCTCTGAGCTCCCCACCCCGTGAGGGATTGTCAGGAACCATCCTCCAGGCTGGGCGCGCTTCCCAGCAAAGGAAGCTCCCAGCAGGGCAGCCCAGAGGCAGAAAAGAACTTGCCTCTGTCCTTTCTTGGGGTGTCTGTCTTCTCTTGAGAAGGCTGGGGCCCAGGCTCCTGGCTTTTGGAAACTAAAGCTGTGATGAGTTGGTGACAGAAGGACAGAGCAGGGCTGGCCTTGGAAACCCCAGCTTAGCAGAGATGGGCCTGGGCAGGCAGTGAGGATCCTGGCCGCTCCCCAGAAAGGGCTACCCACCAACCCCCGTGCCTGCCTTACTAGGAGACAGCCATGGCGGCTTCGGCCACCTGCGGGGCTCCAGCCACCTGTGGGGCTCCAGCCTGGTTTGAGAGAAGACCCCCACACACATGGGGTGTGCCCAATTGGGCACAAGCCTAAGTTGTGGCAGCAGCACGCATACTCCGCTTGCATTCCGCAGACACCAGAAGCCTCAGTCTGCTCTGAGGTGTCCTGTCTTGGGGCTAAGAACCTGTCCACTCCCGGTGGAGGGGCAGAGGGACAACCTATGTAGAGCTCCTGGAACGCCGACCTCCCCTGTGAGAACTGCATTTAACTGTCCCTCCTGAAAAGAGTCTAACCACCCACATGGGCAGAATGGACCAGAAAATCCAGCCTGAGAGTCTTAGGCCTGTAACCTAAGACAGTGCCCTTTCTTGGGGTGTCTCTCTCAAACCATGGATGGTGGCCAGGGCCTGCCGATTGAGAAGCAGGAAGGCCCCCTGTCACACACACAGACCTCCCACACTACCAGGCTGAGCCGGGACCCTGCTCATCCCATGTGAAGCCTGAAGTGTCCATGATCATTCTTGAAGGCCTGAGCAGGGTGTCCTGGGTTCACAATCCCATTCTCATAGCAGCTGAGCAGCATCTTTCACAGAGTCCGGAAGAGGGTTGGTGCCCCTTGGTGATTGTGGGTAAGAAAGGAGGGCCAGGCAGTGGCCTTTCTGGGAGGGCACCCTTGGGCATTCTGTAAAGGTGGCGACTGTCAGACACTGCTGTCCACCCCCAGTGACCTGCCAGGCTCTGGGCTTTCTTGAGGAGGGGACGCGTCTTTCCTCATCCCAGCTCTAATGATGTCTCACAAAAGGGTGACAGCAGGACTCCGGCATTGATAAAGCAGTTGGCAGGGCATGGGGCCATCCACACCCAGGCTGTAGGCCTCTTTTCTGGATCCGTATCAGCTTTAATATTTATTAACAGCCATATAAAGGACCCTGGGGGGCTCTGAAGCCTGTTAACTCACCATCTACGCAGGGTGTGACTACGGAGGCCTGCTAGTTTTTATCCTTACCCAAAAAGGTAAAGGTATCCTTCGTGCATCCAAGGCGCAGGCTTGATGGACTGTATACCCAAGAGACTCCACACCGGGGAAGGAAAGGCATCCCAACCCCTGGAGTCCCCAGAGGCCATGGTTAGAAGAAGGGGACAGGGGTCACTGGTCACTGTTTGCAGACAGCTTCAGGGGTCTCTGCTGAGTCCAAGCCTGAGGTCAAAGGCATGTGCTGAACCTGGGCCCCTGAGAAATGTCCTTGCATGACAGGTTTGAAACCTGTCTTCCTCTGGCCATCATGGCCTGAAAGCAGAGGTACCCACCAGGCCCAAAGTCACTTCTGCTTTCAGATTGGTGGGTGGGGAGGCCTTTCACCCGCACAGAGTGGGACCCAGCCCCGACCCCTCTCCTCGCTGAGCCTATCTCCCTCCACACTAGACACATCAGACCGTGTCCCGGGAGGGACACCTGGGCCATGTGGGAATCATCTGCCCAACCTTAAGCCTCGTGGCCTCGCACAAGCAACCACAGTGGCCTTCTCTCCATGGTGGCTGTCGCCAGTGTGATATTCTGCTTAACCCCAAACTGACCACAGGGCGACTGATGTCAGAACAAGCTGAGGGCTGCAGGGAGGGAGGCCAGGCACAAGCTTCCACCTCTTTATTTGAATAAAAAGCTCTCTGGTCCACCTCAGCTGCCAGAGTCTTGTGTCTTCATGGAGCTCCCAGTCCAGACCCCCCGGGCTGCGTCCTGCCTCTCACCTCATCTTAAGGACATCTCTGAGCCTCTTCTCTCCCATTTGTGGCCCAGGAGACAAGTGTCACACAGCTACGCCTTTGTCTTGGAATCTTCTCCCCGTGGTATTTCCGGCAGGAAGAAAACTCACCTTTCATGCACCAAGCATCGATGGAGCAGCTACTGTAGATATTTGGGCCAAGAGTGCCCAGAGCTGAAGGTCCTTGACTCTAGAGCCCAGGCTTCCACCTCTGAATTTCCTGCAAGTTTCACATAAAGTATCTCTCATTCAGCCCGCATGGTGCTACACGGTGCCTCTGCCAGAGTGTGTCCAATCGGGGTTACAGCCTTAGAGGGAGGAGCAGGCATCCCCAGTGGGGTCCAGAACAAAGAAGCCCGACCCCAGAGAGAGACAGTCCCTTGACCTGGGAAGTTCGGAGGATCAGACAGCTCTCCAGGCACCCACATGGTCCCGGCATGAGACACTGAGAAGCTTGTTTGCAGAAAGAGAAAAGTGACCCTGAGGACCGCATGGCCATCTTGAAGGCATCGGAGTTTGGTTAAAGGTGCACTGATCATCTGAGCAAATCTCTGGAGGGCATCACCCGAAGAGCTGCAGGCAACACAAGGGCTTTGTGTTGGCACAAGCAGGCGCCTCCTCCTGGGGAGGGGCAGCCCCCTGCCCGAGGGAAGGGGGTTCTCCCTCCCAGGCCGGGCCACCTCCCTGTGGCCGAGAGCCTGTCAGCAGGCCTGACGCCGTCTCTCCGGGCCCCGGTGCTCCTGTCCACAGCTCTGCTTCCAGGCCGCCATGCGGGGCCAGTAGCATCAGTGAGATGAGGTGTGGGGCTAGGCGGGAGCCTTCATGGCGGCACCCCTTGGGATTCTTCTTTACCCGAGAGGTCAGGAAGGGTCATCCTTCTTTAACCCCCTTCTTTTCCTGGAGCTGGTTCAAGTCAGGGCCCTTCTGGCCGGCCAGCCTGCTTCTGCACCCTGAAGTGGAGTGGAGACCTACGGGGTCACTAAGGCAGCTTTATTCCTGGGGGTCGAGGAGTGAATGGGAGGTATAGGGCGATAGATTTTAACCTCCTTAACCGTGAGAGGGAGAAACTGAAGCAACAGGATCAGCAAATTCAATGACCGGTCTAGGGCCATGTCCAAGGTGGTTCACAAGGGCAGGCCTCCCTGAAAAGGGAAGCTAGAGTCCGGGGCTATAGGGGGACACAGGGCTAACCCTGCTTAGCTGGGCAGGGGCCTGGGATGGGCCTGCTGGTGTGAGGAGGAGGGGTGCTTGTCCATCACTCCCACGGCTGCCTGGAGGAGGTAGATGTTTTGGGTGTTAAGAGTGAGAGTGAAACATCTGGATGAGAACAAGGTGAGGAGCCTGTGGCTTCCTTGGAGAAGGTTCAGAGGCTGTTTGGAGGGAACAGGTAGGCAGGCTCCCTCACCGGGAGGGGTGAAGTCATTCACCACCTTCCCCCTTCCCTCCCCCTGCGTCCTCATGTCAGCCCTCTTGAAGTTTCCTGATTTTAACTACCATCATCAAGTAGGTGGGACCACTGGCTCACCCACCACCATCACCAAGGGCCTGGGGCTTCTTCCACATGGAAGACTGGAAATGGCCCCTGCACTGCAGGTGCCTCGAAGGCCCACCAGCCATGAGGAAGTGCAGGCAGGGGTCATGAATTTTGGTTTCAGGTGCCACAGTTTCAAGTTGCCTGAAGTTGTCAAAAGTCAAAGGCAAGCAGACAGCACGTGGTCCTCAGTCCTGCGTCTGGTTTGGGCACGGGCTTGGTGTGTGCCGAGGTCTATAGGAAAGGCCCTGTCCCCCTGATGGCCCTCAGGCCCCCTCGGGGAGGGAGGCGAGGTGGGAGTGAGGCGTGGGGCAGAAGTCCTTGGACTCCAGGCAGACACAGTGGAGAGAGAAGATACTTTCAGCAGCCCCAGCCAGTGTGGGCAGAAGGCTGTGGTCAGCTGCTGCTTCCAGGGCTGATGTGCACTGGGACTGAAGAGGTGGTCCCTTCTCACAGGGCAAGTGGGCAGCAGCTCTGGGCTTCTGATAGCCTGGGCTATCAAGCCAGCTCTGTGGCTGTGGACGCCTTTGGTTCTGACCACAGACAGCCATGGTCCAAAACTCAAGGTGGCAGGGCAGGGCTCTGGGACCCAGGCTGGGCATTTCTACTGTCAACAAGGTGCCCCTGTGATTCCACATGACCTGGCCCAGTAGTTGTGCTGCTGTGGTTGGTTGACCTTTGAATGCTATCTTTCACCCAGCTAGCTCTTGAATCTGCCCTCATAGGAGTAATCAAACCTGACTGTCTGAAATCTAATGAGTAATAAAATCTAATTATCTGAAAGCTAATACCTAAGGTTTCCTTGGAAGAAAAACTATGACAAACCTAGACAGCATATTAAAAAGCAGAGACATCACTTTGCTGACAAAGGTCCATATAGTCAAAGCTATGGTTTTTCCAGTAGTCATGTATGGATGTGACGGTTGGACCATAAAGAAGGGCACCAAAGAATTGATGCTTTCAAACTATGGTGCTGGAGAAGACTCTTGAGATTCCCTTGGACAGGAAGGAGATCAAACCAGTCAATCCGAAAGGAAATCAACTGTGAATATTCATTGGAAGGACTGATGCTGAAGCTGAAACTCCAATACTTTGGCCACCTGATGTGAAGAGGTGACTCATTGGAAAAGACCCTGATGCTGGGAAAATTGAAGGCAGGAGGAGAAGGGGACGACAGAGGATGAGATGGTTGGATGGCATCACTGATTCAATGGACGTGAGTTTGTGCAAACTCTGGGAGATGGTGAAGGACAGGGAAGCTTGGGGTGCTGCAGTCCATAGGGTTGCAAAGAGTCTGACACCACTAAGCGACTGGACAAAAATCCCTAGGCAGGAAATGCTAAAATGTTCAACCAAGGCTCAGAGCTGGTCAGAGCTGCCACCTCCTTCCGCGGCATCAGGCAAAGTCTAGTTGGCGATGAGAACAGTCTTCTCAGCAGGAACCTATTTCACCTCATTGGAACTAAACTTGTTGAGAAATTTCTTAAGTCCAGCTTTTGTTGGGATGTCTTTTATGTGGAATCTGATGGTCTCCCCAGGCTTCACTGTCCTGGAAAATTCAAAGATACACAACCATGCGGTTGGCTGGGAGTGCTGCGGGAGAGGGGAGGGGCACTGTGAGAGAAGCCGGGAGTCCCAGCCTCAGCTCAGTCTTTTTGAAGGGTCCTGGCTGGTCCTGGGCAGGGCACATGGGCATCCACACTGGGCTCTGTGAGAAGTACCTAGGAACTTTAGATGACTACTAATGATGAGACCCAGGCTGGAGAGTCAGTCGCAGCTGTCAGGGCTGGGACACGCTGCCAGGGCTGGGCGGGGACATCAGTAGTATTTCTGCCATTGGAGCACTAGGTATAAACCAACAAGCTGAAGACAAGTTCAGCCTCCAACTTGCTGAGTCTGATCAACACACCGACTTTTCCAACTTGGATTACTATAGAAGACCTTCACACTGTAGAACACACATGCTCCTCTAGCTTATTCTGGAAGATCAGAAGATCCAGAAGTGCAGCTCTTAAGTTCCTATACAGTCTCAGCTAGCCAAGGTGAGCGGCAGCGCCTACTGTTTACAAGGTACCTCAAACATCCCTAGAGACATGACTGCCTGGAGATGCGTGTGTTTTCCCCAATTCCTCTCAGGAGGTGGGAGAAATTTTCTACTAAGCCACTTGGGTGAGGGTGGGAAGGGAAATTCCCCAAGAGAAACTCTTGACGCTTAAGTCATGAAAGACCCCTCTCTGCCTTTGGGGGCGTGGGGTGGGGGCTGCGGGGAGGGCAGGAGGTGCACACCTGACAGGGAAGAGTTGCTAAGGAGCTTTTCACTGTAACTTTTGCATCTTTAGAATTTTGTACTACGTGCAAATAATTACTTATTCCAAAAATTTAAATGTTAAAGATTCAGTTGAGCAAAAACTTTAAAAATAAAATTGCCTATTGATGCATCACTTCAGAAATTCTAATTTGGAAAAGCAAGGTGTTATTTCTCTTAGGAATACACCTGGCCTGAAGAATAAGCCAACTAGGGCACTCCCCCCACCCCCCCCCCCGCCCCAGGGGTCTTAGAGACCCACCCAGAGCCAAGACCGAGCTCCAGGCAGGAGCCCTTTCTGCCTCTAGTGGCTCGCCTCTACCGGGGAGCTTAGCGTACTGGAAAGATACAGATTCCTGAGAGGCGGGCATTTCTTCGGACTCTAGAATTCTGCAATGATGAAACCTTTGATGATTGGTTCATCATCAGACACAGGTAGTCCAAGTAGGTATTGGAATCCAAGGACAGAGTCTCTTCAGATGCTGCCAAAGAGCTAGAGAGGAGGGATGTGGTCATTACTACAGTCCCCCAAAATGAGTCACCATCAGGCACAGAATTAGAAGAAATCTGGATGGACAGAACTGGGTTACTTTGTGTAAGTCTCTTCCTCTCTCTGGAAAACAAGCAGCCGAGCTCAAGATGAAATAATAATCGACTGCGTTCTCCAGGCTCCCATCCTGAGTCCATGGAGACATCCTCAGCTTTAGAACTTTTTCTGCCCATTCTCAACTGCCCTGGCTACCCACAAACCACTGGTTAGAGTAGGCATTTGAGACAAAATCTTTGCCATCATAAAAGACTTCCAATGCTACTTCTAGCACCCCTGATTCATGACTGTGATGAACTCCAGGCTTCTAGACTAGTCTCTTTGGCCCCTATTTTCTCTGTGCATAGATTCCTTGTAACTATCAAGTGGTAGCTACTTAGGAAATGTTCATTTGTGTTAACTCACAAACCATGAAAATCAAAAGCAGGGTCTCTGAAGCAGGGACACACGTGCGCGTGGGGGTTATCGTCCATCCTTGGACCAGTCTTAGGAGGAAGCTACTTGGCCTGGTGGTAGGGGGTGGGGTCCTGCAAGGTCTCCACGAGAGGTCTGGAACAGTGAGGGTTGGGAGGTCAGACATGGGAGGCAAGAGTTAAACAGGAATCAAAGAGATGTTCACTTCCTGAGCCAGCTGTGTAGGACTTCCATGGGCAAGTGTGGGACAGTCCTAGCACAGACATAATTAAGAACGGGAACAATCGTAAACCACTGGGGACAAATGAGATCCCTGAGCCCACACAGAGAGATTGTTTCATAGACGGATATGTCTGATGATTGATACATCAGACAGACAGATGATGGACCGGAGAGAAGGAAGGGCTTTGGTTACAGAATACCGGGCCCAGCACATAAGTGCAGAGGGAGCTGAAGTTGGGAAATGACTGTGAAACCATCACAGAGAAGGCTGGTTCAGACATGAGTTGTCATGCATGCACACTCAGTCGTGTCCAACTCTGTGACTGTAGCTCGCCAGGCTCCTCTGTCTCTGGGATCCTCCAGGCAAGAATACTGGAGTTGCCATGCCCTCCTCCAGGGGATCTTCCTGACTCAGGGATTGAACTTGCATCTCCTGCACTGGCAGGTGGGTTCTTTACCACTGAGCCACTTGGGAAGCCCCAGCATGAGCTGTCAGTGGAAAGTAAATTGGGGGGTGGGGGTGGGGGGGCAGGGAATGACAGGAATGATTTTCATGAGGACCAGGATATTTGCATGACCTCGTTTACTTCCTGTTTACTCCAATGAACTCTGTCCTTTCTGAAATGAAATGAGGAGGAGGTGAGATGCCTCCGGGAGTGTGAGGCAGCAAACATTGAGATGCTGGGTGACACAGCAGACTGAAGTAATGCAGTCATAGCCAGGGCGCCTTTAGAGCCTTGAAAAATCTGAAGAGCCACGAAAGGATGCTCCAAGGAGCCTCCCAAGAGGACCTGGTCGTGATCATGCCTTGATTTTTAGACTTCCAGCCTCCAGAACTGTGAGAGAATATGTTTCTGTTGGTTTAGCCACCAATTTTGTGGCCATTTGTTTCCGCCCTAGGAAAGGAATTCACAGCACAGAGTCCGTGTGGAGCACTGGAGCGTCCTCCTCGCCCGCTGCCTCCTTGGGGCCTGCAGCATGACTCAGCACCCCCATACGGGTGGGTTAACGAGGTCAGAGCAGTGCTGGGACTGCAGGAAGACATACCTCAGCTGTCATTTTTAATTTTAATACTTTTGTTTTCTGTAGTTATTGCACCTGGCTGGGTAGAAAAGACTGAAATGTCAACTGCTCGTAACGTCATATCATAAATGCTGGGGAACCATCTCAATCAGGGTAAGCTGCGAGCAAAGTGTTGGCAGGATACAACTTCCTTGTTTTTCGCCACCAGTGGGCGAGTTGGAATTTAAATCCTCTCAGTATTAAAAAAAAAAACAGTCTGCATAATGAATGATGTTTGCTGTAACTTCTGCCTCTTGGAGTCTCGAGAGAGAGATGACAGATGGAGACACCGTTAAGGTTTTAAAAGGCAAAGTTGCTCTTAAACCAAAGTTAGCGATAGTTGCTAAGGCGCTCTTGTGAGACCATCAGCCTATGACTTTTCAGCTTGTGTGCAGATTTCTGGCGGGGTGTGGGGGGCACTGTCCAATCAGGACTCGAAAAATGACAAGATGGCAACTTCCCTGGGGCAGGGGGGGTGGGTCCAGTGGTTAGGACTCTCTGCTCTCACTGCCAGAAACCAGGATCCAATCCCTGCTTGGGGAACTAAAATCCCAGAGGCCAAGTGGCGCAGCCATAACATAACATAAAATATTATAAGAGCTATGGACAGATATGCTCCTGAATTTGAAGAACATCTGCCTGGGTAGAGTCAGGAAGGAACTGGCAGGCAGAGAGCAGCCAAGCACCAGGCCTGGAAGTGGGGATGGGATTTCAACTCCCCTCTGAGAACTGCAGCTCACCCTAGTTGCTCTTCCTCCAAAAAAATGAAAGGAAAAACATTAAGACAGAATCAAGATTGCACACCTGGCAGTTTTAACTTATAAAACAAGCATTTATTAATCTAGTTTTTCTTCTCTTGCCTTAATACAGAAGCATGAGGCTGATGGTCTGGTAACATCGATGTGAAGCCGAAAACCCAACCAGTCCTGATTCCAAAATCCCGTGACTGGCCTTCACTAGGCAACAGGATCACAGTTAGTGTGGTCTCAAGTCCATATAGTAAGCTGACCAACCCCAGGGTCTCCTGCGCCTACCGGGGCTCACTGGGTGGGCTGGGGAACATGAGAGTCAACAGCACAGTGCAGACG